GGGGGGGGGGGGGGGGGGGCAGCAGGCAGATGTAACAGCCTATAGCGGTGGAGATTTTTTGTGCTGCCTGGTCTGCTCTCCCTCCCCCCTCCCCAAATAATCATTTGTCTCAGGGTACAAGTGAGAGTGGTCCCAAATGCTGCATTTTCTGCCGTGGTGTCAAAGTAAGGTTCTATTCACCTCTGGCTGGTAGCTCTCTGTGTGTGTGTGAGCGTGCAGGTGTGTGTATGTGCGCACGCGCACACAGTCAGATGGGATCTTGCCTTTGCCTCTAGCAGTTGACTGTCTCCAGCAGGCCAGGGGGAGTCCCTCTTTTGACAAGGCCGCTCCTCTCCTTATTCTGCCAACCCATTGAGTCAGGCCCTCTTATGAAAAATGCGGCACGTGAAGGCCTGGGCCCGTTTGCAGCGCAGAAGAGGGTCCACAGCATCTCCCATTCAGACCGTGTTTGGCCAGCAGGTCCACCCTGAACCAGCCTCAGAGAGAGAGTCGGTGGGAAGAGACCCCGGGGGGTCATGGCCTGTCTTGGTAGGAGCAGTTTCTGATGGACAGCAGTGGGTGGGCTGGCGCTGTGCATCGAACGTGCACCTCAAGAGCGCCTTTGCTTCATAAAGAGCAGGGCTGCAGGCTTGGAGGACATGGCAGTACTTATTAGGAGGGTAGAAAAAAATAATCACAGATGAAGCTCTTGGTCGCACCTTTGGGATTTGCAATGTAAAAAGATAATGCTTGAGGTGCTCCCTAAGGATCTGATGGCCCTGGAACTCGGAATGTTAAAAATAGAGATCAGACCTGGTTTCCAGCGTTTGGGATGCTTATCCCAAGGCCGCAAAATAAAACAACCCTCTCCAGTTTTTGTATCTCCATAGTCTTTGTGCTGCCACCTCAGAACATGGAGGTTTAGTTCCAGGCCCGTGACAACTCTTGACGCTCCTTTGGGCCCTGTACCCCGGCTTAGAAACCTGCTTCCCCCCACCTCTGCAGCTTTAAGCAGGGCTCTCCAGCACGCTCTTAGGAGGGAGACTGGGAGGGGTTCTGGGGTGGGAAACCTTCCTGGGGCAGACCTCCTCCTTGGCATCTCTCAGGATCTGCCTCCCAGATGTCTCGATTGGGGTGGGGGGCAGGGAACATTTTTGCTGTTGGGATGGTGGTGGGGGGAGGCCATGTGGCTCTGGGCCTCCCTCCCCCAGTTTTCTTTCTTTCCAGTGGTTTTCTCTGGAAGAGGTAGAAGGTACTTTGGGGACAGCAGGACTTAGAAGCCATGTTGACTCTACACTCCAGGTGTCTCTCACTGGGGCGTTCCTCTGCTGTTTGACCTCAACGCTCACAGGACAGGGAATTCCCAAGCCCTGAACTTCTTGGGGGCCATTTCAGTGCTAGCACAATCCCAGAGGTTACCAGTGATGGGAAATCGGGGCTCACGGGGTTCCAGATGTCTTTCTTTCTTAACATTCCTTTGGCCAGAGGTTGTGGAGCATTCATGATCTGCCATAAACTAAAATTGATAGGCATTCAATTAGGCATTGATCTGAAACTAAAGCATGTTGCTGCCGGCTTCTTCGCTGAGGCGTCTTTTCTTTTTCTGTAGATGCTTAGAACAGCGAAACCCAGACAAAGCGCCAGACTCTTCACATGTATGGGCACATCACGGTGCTTCTCTGTTGCGGGTCTTCCTCAGTTCCCTTTTTTTCAGCTGCTCTGCTGTGCCCTGTAGTAGAAGCTTCTGTGCGCCTGAGAACTTCCTGCCCATTCCTTGGCCATTAAACTGACCGAGGCAGAAGGTTGGGCTGGTGGCGGCTTTTCATTGCCTGTTCAGAATCTCGTATGCATCCCATGACGTCACAGCAGTGATTCAACCAATCATTGCCTCCTGATCCTGAACACATTCTCTGCCTCTGGACTATTTCTTACTTTAAAACTGTTTTTCCCTTGTTTGGGTGAGCAAATCATACATGTCTTTCCAACTGTCAGTTCCTTGGTCTCTTTTCAGGATAAGTCAAGGCACTTAAATCCACATTTTAGAGCTACTGTGTTAAGGCTGCAGGGTGGGTGTGCACCAAGGCGTGCTTGATTTGAGGGTGAGGGTCGATCAGGGCATTTTTCGGCAGCAATAAGTGGGCTTGTAGGTCAAAGTTTAGCAAGGGAAGGTGTACTCTAATGGGTTTGCGGAGAAACAACGGCTCTCTTCACAGATGCTTAACCTGGGTACTGTCATATCCATTTTTAAGGTTCATACCATACACTGAGCTATGCAGTAACCAGATAAGCTGGGTTAACACAACGTGCTAAACAGTAACAAGACTAACTAAAGTTAAAAATAGCCAAGCTTGGTATGCTGCGTGAATGCATCTGCTAGATCT